ATTTTTTAATTAGCGGGCGAATTAATGGGGAAGCGCTCTGCGTCGAGAAACCATTGAGTTTCTTATAGCGCAGTGACTTTCGTCGCAATATTAATTTTTTTATTGCAGAGGTTAAGGGATGAAACGGGGGTTGATGGATGGGGAATTTAATTCTCCATTGAACAGTCTTTGTTTCATCCCTTAATATTAATTAGTCGGCGAATAAATCAACTGAAAAACATAAAGTAAACATTGAGTACAAGGAGGACAAAAATCCCCCTCCGAACCTGTCCCTGTCACAGCGGGACTGCTACTGCCGAGTTACTCACGCACCCGACTTACATTTACCGACAATTCGACCGGAACGCCGCCTTTCCCGTGGGGTACCAACTAACTTTTTTGGAGTCAGTCAAACCCCCCGATCCGGGCCTCTACTCAGGTCTCTTTGGGTGTTGCTGCAGACCCCAATGTTATTGTTAGAGTATTTTGCAATTTTTAATTAATTAATATGTTGTCGTTGCTCCACGCACATTTTATTAGAGTTTATAGTGACTACGTACTAAACCTGTCAAGGTAATTCTGTATATTGCAAGCAAGTGTTTACGCAATTTGTGTAGTTTTCAGTATTACAGGCTAGAGTGTTTGTTTTGATTACAATCAATGTATTTGTGTGAGTTTTATTGTAAAATTTAGAGTGACATTCGGTCATGGAATTTATGTTTGGTTTTCAGAGCCTGAAGAAGCTGCGATTTGCAGCGAAACGTCGCGATTTGACAATAAATAAGTATTGCTGAACTCTTCCAACATCCCATTAATTATTCCTCTTATTGTTAACCATGGAAATGAACAACGTCATTTTTACAAATATTTATCGAATTTCTGATTTTTTAAATGAAAATCAAAGGCGTTCTTGTCACAAAAATATCAAAAATAATTTTTTGCAACTACAGACTTCACATTTAATGGAAAAAAATAGGAATAATCCATTATTCATGTGTAATTTCATAGTGCGCAGAAGTGAACTCCAAGCAAAAAATACAAAAACGACGATATCTCGAAAAATTTCAATGGGATGGTACCCATATTTTGTTGTATGTAGATAAATAGCATCAAAACGCATATTTTGAAAGAAAAACAAATTTTGAAAAAAATCAAATCGGACCAATACTTTTTGAGATATTGACCAAAAGATTTCGTTCATCCAGCATTCCAAACTTTTTTACCATGAAACCTAAATGAACAAATAATAACAATATTTAAATTGAAAATTTCTGATATGATTAAACAAAGAAAGCTTTGACTCAATATTCCGTAACTGCAAACAATAAAAATGATAATAATTATGTAATATTATCTGAATCAATAATGGAAATTTCAGACTCTCCAAAAAGGATAGAGCAGAAGTCAAACGATCATTTAAAATTTTAATTTTTAAGTTGGTGCTGAAAACATTAGGTGGTGATATTCTAAGCGTGGAATTATATTGATGATATAAACAGCGGATCAATTGAATTAACGAGTGAACTAATTATAAAAATTTATGAGTGTTCACCAGAAATCTACTCTCTGGACTACGTTCGAGAAGAAAGTGGATTATAATTATGATCGAACTTTTATTCAGTGAGCATAGGAATTAGCACATGAGCAAGTCATTTATTGCAATGTGAAGAATTAACACAATTTATACTGATAGAATATGATTCATTTATTCCAAACGAGATTCGTTAACTATTAACGAATGGTAGAGTTGAATATGACCAAATGCTTATTCGTTAATAGTTAACGAATGGTTCACTTGAATGGCGAAAGTTAAATCAAACAAGGCTCCTCAAATATACATTCGTTAACTATTGGGACCGAATAGACCTTAACCTCCAACCAAAATCCATTCGTTAACAATGAATAATCCGTTCTATCAGTGTAAAGCTAATAAATTGGGACATTTTATTTCCATCAGTTGCGTTGCTTTTTGCAATTAGAATGATTATGAACAATGAATTGAAAAAAGGAATATTGCATCTGACAGGAAAAAGGACATGATAAAAGGGGCATCAACCACTGAAATATACTACATACTGGAAAGGGCACTGAGCCGCCCGAAGCGAGCCGAGAGAGAGGATCGATTTTGGGGGCCGCCTGTCTCTGTCGTAGCGTCTGCTCCAAAAGTATTTTCTTACCTTGGACAACGTATAGAATTTAGCATTGGCATTCAGTTCTTTTTGGTTGCATATGTCATTTTTATTAAAATTCAAACTCATAAAATGTGACAGTTGAAAATTTTATTCTTTCCCAATGTATACTGTGTAACGAGATTTTATCGTTACTGTAAACTGTTTTACCAACATGAAAATCCATGAGACAAGAATGGTTAGAGTGAGGGACAAAGAAGAGAGCGACATCTAATGCCAGCTGAACAAGCTGCGCGAGAGATGAACCACGCATGAGGTGAATAGACCAATCAAATAATGCCAAGAGGCGTGGTTTGGGTGAAACCATGCTTCTGAACATTACAGAGAGGCTGTCGATACCCTATCGCCTTATCTAGAAACTTGCCAAGCTGTTTGGGCTTGGGTACAGTCATCCCAAAAACAAATTCCAAGGCGCGTGGTAAATCTCCCAAACGTAAAGTCACTGAGTGGTAAAAATATCCGAATATTGTATAGTAAGTGTTGATTGTGCATTTGAATTGGATGATACACTATAGTGGATGAATGGTGAATTGCACAGGGGAGAGGGAAAATGGGTTTCCAAAGGAATAAGAATATGAAAATAACTGTTTGGTTTTTCAGATGAACTGACGAATAGACCGTTCCATAAAATCCCCGACAAGCAGATATCTTGGAGAGTGTAGACATGGAGCTGATTATTGTAAGAGTTTATCATTATTGGACTTTCGAAAAACATGTGAATTGATTTCCTACTGTAAAGACGAAAAAAGATGCAATAAAATCCACGAATGAAAATACAGGAGCAATTAATTTATTACGCAATGACCTATTATCTGCTCAGCACATTTCAAGACCTTAAAATCAGCTGTCTCAATAATCGCCAGAAATATTGCCCAGTAAGAGATTCTTAGCCACGGACTCCACATAGGTTTGCATCACTTTTTCCCAAAATGACGAATTATTGGAGTGTAATATTACATTGAGTGTCTAAACCAAGAAAGGGGTATTGGATGAATTCCAGAAACTGAAAACTCTTATTTGTTCGACTCCACAAATTGATTGCACATAGGAATATTGGGATCCATTTTACTAGGTTAGTGAAACTTGGAGACTATGGAAATATCAGACGAAAGAGTGATTTTTATCCATCGTGATAAAAATCACTCTTTCGTCTGATATCCAGAGTGATAAAAATCACTCTTTCGTCTGATATTTCCATAGTCTCCAAGTTTCACTAACCTAGTAAAATGGATCCCAATATTCCTATGTGCAATCAATTTGTGGAGTCGAACAAATAAGAGTTTTCAGTTTCTGGAATTCATCCAATACCCCTTTCTTGGTTTAGACACTCAATGTAATATTACACTCCAATAATTCGTCCTTTTGGGAAAAAGTGATGCAAACCTATGTGGAGTCCGTGGCTAAGAATCTCTCACTGGGCAATATTTCTGGCGATTATTGAGACAGCTGATTTTAAGGTCTTGAAATGTGCTGAGCAGATAATAGGTCATTGCGTAATAAATTAATTGCTCCTGTATTTTCATTCGTGGATTTTATTGCATCTTTTTTCGTCTTTACAGTAGGAAATCAATTCACATGTTTTTCGAAAGTCCAATAATGATAAACTCTTACAATAATCAGCTCCATGTCTACACTCTCCAAGATATCTGCTTATCGGGGATTTTATGGAGCGGTCTATTCGTCAGTTCATATGAAAAACGAAACAGTTATTTTCTTATTCTTATTCCTTTGGAAACCCATTTTCCCTCTCCCCTGTGCAATTCACCATTCATCCACTATAGTGTTCATCCAATTCAAATGCCTTGGCACCATCAACACTTACTATACAATATTCGGATATTTTTACCACTCAGTGACTTTACGTTTCGGAGATTTACCACGCGCCTTGGAATTTGTTTTTGGGATGACTGTACCCAAGCCGCTGTTTGTGGGAAACGGGCCAACGTACTGGCGTTCCAACTGGGTGATTCTAGAGGTGCTATTGACTTAGACTAGGGACCAATGGCTAAGTGAGAGGACTAGCGCCCCCTCGATTGCCCCGTCGAGCTGATTGGTGGTGGTCGGGTAACGGATGACCCACCGCCGCTGAGATGTTCAGACTAGGGGGAGAAGGCCCTAATAGATTTCCNTTTACCACGCGCCTTGGAATTTGTTTTTGGGATGACTGTACCCAAGCCGCTGTTTGTGGGAAACGGGCCAACGTACTGGCGTTCCAACTGGGTGATTCTAGAGGTGCTATTGACTTAGACTAGGGACCAATGGCTAAGTGAGAGGACTAGCGCCCCCTCGATTGCCCCGTCGAGCTGATTGGTGGTGGTCGGGTAACGGATGACCCACCGCCGCTGAGATGTTCAGACTAGGGGGAGAAGGCCCTAATAGATTTCCAGACAGTCGGTGACAGGCACTGGAGTCGAGCGGATGAAAATCGTCCGGTCCTCGACGACGGTCGTAAGTGGCATTAATCCGTTATGGATTATGGGGGTCCGTTGTGAGGACAAGATCCGGAACAGCGAGAGAATGGGACGCTTCGGCGTTCCAAACAGATTGATCGGATTACTTTGAGGACGTGGGGTATTTTAATTCCATGTTCTCAGGGATCCATCACTTCGGGCGAACGAAGTGGTGTTGGCGTAGATCCGTGGGCCGGGAGTTAGGCCGACTCCTGGAGGCCCGATCGCACGTGCCTCCACGACGAGTACTCTGGGTGTTGGCCCGCGATGATAGTGCTTTTACCGAGCATTGAGGTTGAGTTGGGGTGGGCACAGGTGGGTGAGAATAAGTCTCCGGATACCTGTGTCGCATGTGCCTCTCAGTGTTCGGCGCTCCGAGGAGTGAGAAGGATTGGCAGGTAATAGTCGACTTCTCCAGAGTTGAGCCACTCTGGAGAGGAAAGGAATACGTCAGAGGAATGGAAACATCCTCTGCGAAAGATAGTTGGAGGAATGGCTCCTGGAAGATACGCTTTATCGAGGTCTATCGGCTGAAGACGAAGATCGATCGAGTGAATTACTCCTAGTATGGTGGACCTTGCCCACTCTACCGTTTTACGCTGATGCTGGCTCGGCATTGTTGGTCCCGCCACGAGAAGTCCTCAGGGTAGACGAATTATCCTCTGAGGCCGGTTTACCGTTGAATTTTCCGTAAAAATCCAGCTGGCGCCCGACATAATTGAGCGATAGAGAAAGTGCCAAACTAGTTTGGGATCTCTGCTGGTGATGCACCGGGAGAAAATCCTTCACAACTGATATACACTGAGAAAAAAAATTACTTTTGCCAAGGAATCATTTTCTTGGGAGAAGAAATTATTTCTTACGGGGCGTATTTCTCCAGGCCAGACTCAGGGAGTCCAAGTCCATCTCTAAATATTACAATTATGTTCAATTATGGAATGTGTATATTACATATGACCTTGAACTCCATTGACAATTATTAACCTTTAGAATTATTTCAAATTATTATACGGTAGAAAACCTCGAATTTGAAAAAATTGAAAAATAATGAACCGTGTTCATTCACGGTCATATGTAGCATAATCATCTCATTATTCAACATAATTGTAATATTTGAAGATGGACATGGACCACCTGGGAATGACTCGCCTAGAGAAATAAGCTCCTAAAAAAATAAATTCTTCTTCCAAGCAAATGATTCCTTGGTAAAAGTAATTTTTTTTCCCAGTGCATGGGGTATTTACAATTCTATTACGAGTGAATTGACATGGGAAAAATACATAAGAATATACAATTCAATAGATTCTTTATTCAATTGATCTGACGGGAAATCAAAATCCTCTGAGTCAGTACCGTCCTCAGTATTCGGAATTTCAAATTTTGGTATGTCCAATATAATTCCTGAAACAGAAAGTTGATATTTGAATGATATAAACTTTCATTTCAAGAGGAATTAATTCCTCAAATTCAAAAACATGCCTCGAGTTTCTGATCTCTATTTGATCTTTCCAATACTGTGATGAAAAAGTAGAACGTCCCAATATTTATTTATTCTTCTAGCATCAAAACCATCTGTAACAAATCAATTCTTCTTCTTCTTCTTGTTCTTCTATTTTTATGGCACTGACTGAAATGTCTTGCGGCCGAACACATCAATTCACTGCGAATAACTCAACCTAAGCTTCTCAACTCGCTTGTACCGTGGGTCGTTTGGCACGTTACGCGCATGCGCACCGTCGAGGGAGAGAGAGGTGGCCCCCAATATCTACTCCTCTCTGGCTCGTTTTCCGTTTACGAGTCTGGCATTGCAGTGCCCTTTCCAGTATATAGTATATTTCAGTGCTTGAGACAGACAGATTTAACACTCAACGCTCTTGGTGCGGCTGAATTTGTCTCTAATGAAAACGACAGATTTTCTGATTATGCTCAAAGCCCCCATGGTCGCTCCTGGTCTCGAGTTTTCATGGAGATTTCCCATGTAATCTTTGTCATAAAAGCCCATATATAAGAAGCGACGTCAATCGTTGATAACTTGAAAAGGAAATCTGAGAATCTTTCAGGAAAATTCATAAATAATTCAATTTTGATAATAAACATTCGCCAAACCCCTCAAAAGCCTATATTTTGTTCGGAAATTTTCAGTTTTCTTTCGATTTTTGGGCTTTGGAGTTGGCGTGGAACTGCACATTTAGATAGCGAGAAAAAGACTTATTACATTGACGATCTCATATTTAAATTATCCAGGGAGTCAGAATGAAAACCGAAAAACTTCGTCGTTCCGACCTTTTGTTTTTAAGCACGCAACATGTATTCTCTATTTTTCTCCATATTTATAATGGCCTCAATCGAAAAACTTTAAATTTGCATAAAGAATGTTAATTGGACAGTTTCAGACAAATCAACTTTGCAACATCAGTAACATCGAAATTAGATACAAAAACCAGTCGCTGGAAGCCAATACCGCTATCAGCTCCTCACAGAGACTCCAGTGGGCACCAACGCATTCCCTCTCTGTCGTTACAATCAGAACAACACCGACAAGAACTTATGATTGATATTAACACTCTAAGAATCTGCAATCTGCCAAAACAATCGTCGTTTATGGAAAGGAGGTCTCCACAAAAGTCTATACGTTCTTTTGAATTGATTGCAAGTTGTCACCATTTAGATCCACTCAAAATTATACCATTTAGATCCACTCAAAAAAACTCGCACATCACTGACATGGCAAAGAAACCCCGACCTTTAATAACCACAAAGTTCTCCAAATTTCCTAAGAGTAGAATGACTCTAAACAAACTTGTATTTTTTGGTCTAATGAGCATTGCAGTGCTTATCATCTCCATTCTAATATCAGAGTACAATCAAAAGCCCTTAAACTTTGCAAATACAACAATAGAATTGAGAAACAATATCTTAGGACAAACTGAAGCAATAGAAACATTAATTGACCATTTTCAATCGAACTCCAATAACTTCACAGTTGTGATTTTGTTAGGAGGGATAGGGGTTGGTAAAACCTATGCCGCGAACATAATAAAGAATCATTTCCCTTACAAAAACAACATCTTCGAGTATTTCCCACCAATAGCAAAGCTGATTCCCTCAGCTTACGGATTGTTATCTCACCGTCATTGTAATTTACTGATCGTGGAGAACCTGAAGACCGAAGACGTGAGGGATTTTATGGGCTTCACGAAGTTCATTCAAAAGCAGGAGAAACGTCCATGTATGATTATTTTGGGAATTTTAAATCCTCAGGTGACTGATGATTATTTGGCTAAAACTATAGACCTCAAGAAGGCAAATGAGGAGTTGCAAAATTTATTTATGGAGGCGGAGATAAAAGGCAAGGTAATTAGATTCAGTTCATTGGGACCTGAAATAATTGGTGAGTGCATAATGAGAGAAGTTAGAGACAATGCTGTGCTACTGGCTGATGGAGATTATGAGGCAGTTAAAACACAATTGTTGATGATGGATAGTGGCTGCAAGGGTGTACGCGGGAAAGTTCGTCTGTTGGGTACAAAAAAAAATTAATGAAAGACGCAATATTTTAGTTTGTTTAGGAGCAGCGAAGACTTGAATAATGAAAGGGGTTGAAATTCAATTGTTCCGCATTTTTGAGAGAAGCGTTTTACTTTCTTAAAATGGCTGAAATGAGAATGTTAAAAATCGATTATTCGTGACAACTACTGTAAATGTGTTGACCAAAAGACGAGGGAAATTTATTATTCGGAAGAATTGAAAGTGGTAAATTAGTACTCATGGTGTAATCGATATAACACTGGGACTATGTAGGAGTTGAATAAAAATTTAATCATCGATCATCTACAGAAATATTGTTATGCTCATTTCGAAGTTTGCCAGAGTTAACATCCGCAGGTATTTTTCAGCGCCCCCTCCACTCCGCCGTCCACTGGTAGCCATCACCTAGATACGGCAGAACGTGGTGAATGTACCCAGGTAGGGGAAAACAGATGAGCCCGGCTCGGTCCAAGCACGGCGGCCGGGCTGCGAAGTTCAGGGCCCGTGCTAGACATGTTTATTGAAAACTAGGATGATAACATAAGACCAGGTATGAGCGTGGATTTCGGCCTAGCGTAGGTTGCCAATCGTTGGCTAGGCTCAATTAATCGTTACTTAGTTACATGAATATGATATGAGTTATTGAAACAGGAATGAGCGTACTTAAATACTTTCGTTTTTAAAATACCGATTTAGATACTAAATACAAGAATATTTATTATTTAGGAGAAGTTCAAGGTCTATTCCAAAACCATCGGACCCAAAAGTTGGCCCCTGCGAATTTCTGGAAACAATTCTAAATAACTTAATTTATTGCATTCTCATAAGTTATTGAGTTTTTCTATTCTCATGTTTTGTTGGTGCAGGCAACAATAACTGTTTGAATTAAATAAGAAATAATTTGTTAATTTATATTTTGAATCAAATAGGGAATGCTTTCACGAAATTTCAATTTTTTATAGTTGTATATCGCGGAAACTATTGTGACGAGGCACATTATTTATTTGTTATTATTTTTCTACATATTTTTCCCCACTACACACTGCCCCCTAAAAGGTAAATCCCGCCACCGTTGGATACCCCTTCCCTCACTTTTCCCCTCATCACCCCTCTACTCCTGCCCCTGGACATCACGAAGACATCAGCCGAAGGAAGACATCAGTTCCGGCCCCACGCGATCAATTGGAGAAGCCATCGCCTCCTGGAAATTCCCCATACTAGACCCCCGAATATTCAACACCAGCAATAATCCCTTGCGAGACATCCCTGGATTGTGGTCATCGTCACCACTCACCCGTGTTGATTGGCCCCGATTGCTCCCGAATTAAAACCCGAAGGACATCGATACCTGACGAACCCCCACGAATCGCGAAGGAAAAGAAAAGACCGTCACTCGTGCATTAGTTGCCCCGTGAGTCGCCACGTGCCCCGAAAGTAGTAATAGTGAATATAGTAAAATTCGCCCGGAAGTTATTTGGCGGATAAAAAGAGGACTTTTGATACATCGAGCTCATCCCAGCTCTAGTATTGGTGCCCAGGAAACCCCGAGGTGGAAAGGAGGCTCTCCAGGAAAACACCCTGGTATTTTAAAGGAGTGCAAGGCGCCGGTGGAATTCCCACGTGTTCGCCAGAGTGAAGTCCCATCGTGAGTACGAGTTACCCCCCTCATTTTCCCTCTTGTCCCTACAATATTACCCTTCATACCCCCCAACGGTGAGCCTACACTCTTTTGTTCCTTCCCCATTCAGTTATTATTTTTATATTTAATTGCATTCCCTCGACACGACTAGCTTCTCCCCTTTTTCCTGCATTAGAGTCACTCCCTTCTTACGTGTACAAAAGTTGCCTGGCCTTACCCATAACCCTAGATCCAAGTAAAAGGCATTTCAACCGTCTTACGACGATCTATCATGTAAATTAATAGAAATATAGATATTCAGTTAATTTTATCCCCCATTTATCCTCATTATTTAATTGCCCTAAATCCCCCTTTTAGGAAATAATAATAATTAAATATTGAAAGGTCACACTATGTAGTACAAAATTTTACAAAAAAATCACCGTATTCGGAATTTATATAAGGACCAAAATGGAAACGTGAAAATGTTAAGGGGAAAATCTAAAAGGCGAAATCTGCGGCTCACAATCGAAGGGTCGAAATATAAGGCTCAAAATCTGAGAGTCGAACTGAGGGCCAATTATTATTACGGATCAAAATGAGGGCAAACTCTCAGGAGTCAAATTGAGGGCTTTCTCTTAAGGGTTAAAGATAGAGTCAACTCTGAGGGGTCCGCTCTTAAGAATCAAACTGAGGGCCAATTTTTATTGAAGGTTTAAAAGAGGGCCAATTCTCAGATATCAAATTGGTGGTCCAATATGACCCCTCCTCCCTTGGCTATGGACACGTCTCAAATGCCCACTAAATGACTACCAAAAGCCATGAAATGACGATGAAAATTCGTGGTTTTTTCCATACGTGAATGAGCAGCTAGAGAGTCTGTAGGTAGAGGGTGCATATTTTTTATCCAGAAAAATTTGTTTTCCCTTTTTACCCCCGACGTCCAACCAAAGAGGTCCAACCATATGCCTTTTGACACTCGGTAACCTAAGGGCCGGTTTGTTCATGGTCCTTTTCCTCTAAAGGCCCGTTTTGTAAACGGAGCTTTAGCAAACGGTCCATTGAAAAAAAATGAGTTGTTGTATTACAAATGATGAAAACACTCCGAGGAATCAAACTACCAAGCTCTTTTTTTGATTAATTACTCAGTTTTTCAAAAAAGTGCATAAAAAAATGATTCGATGAAGGTGACTAGGGGCCGGTTTGTTCATGTTCCTTTTCCTCAAGGTTACTAGATACCCAGGTTGGGACCACTGAAATTTACTATATACTGGAAAAGGGCACTGAGCTGTCCGAAGCGAGCCAAGAGGGAGGGTCGATTTTGGGGGGCCACCTGTCTGTTATGTTTAGGAGTTACCAATAATTGACCTGAAGCTTATTAAACCGTCTTTATTCCACCATCGCCATCTTGTCCACGCCATACACATATCTCTATATAACGCCATCTATAACATTCTTCTCTTTTTATAGCTCCCTGAACACCGCTGCAAACATTTAGTCTTCAAACATAATCCTTAAGATAAGCTGGTTTTTTAACTTGTCTGCCCGACCTAGTACAATAGTCAGTCTCTTGAGTTCGTTCCAATACTTGAGGCATTAGTTAACCAGCGAATTGCTATTCTCATTTACCGCATTTGAAACATTATTCGTAACATTGTTTTGATTTGCGGCTTTATATTCACTATCTCCCTCCCATTCATCACTTAGCTCCTGAAATTGACCTCCTTTAATCAACATTCTTCTATTTCTCTTCACAATTTCTCCTGCTTTATTCTTCATCACATATGATCGTGGATTTTCTTCTTTTTTAATTATTATTCCACTCTTATAAGGCTTCTGTTCATTTTCATTTTGAATTTTAACTACTTCATCTATCTGTAATTCTGGTAACTGTTTACTGTGTTTGTCAAAATACAGCTTTTGTTTCTCTTGCTTTTTCACTAATTCATTTTGGAACTCATTCTTAACATTAACATCAACCTTGAAATGAGGAATTACATTCCTGACTTTGCTGTTATATAATAATTCTGCTGGTGTTTTACGGTCACTTGTTACTGGTGTATTTCGGTATATAAGCAATCCTAAATTAATGTCTTTAAGTTAAAAGTCTGTATATATCTCTCTGCTAATCCATTTCCAATGTGATGTTTTGGACTAGTAATCTTGTGAACAAAATTCCACTCTTTAGCAAACTTTTTCGACTCTCCACTCGTAAATTGAGTTCCTAAATCTGAATACACCTCTTCTGGTACCCCATGTCTTTTAAATATACCTTTTATATTATTAATTGTACATGCAGTAGATAAATTATTCAATTCTTTGATCTCTACATACTTACTTAAGCATCTACTAACAAAATATAAGGTTTCCCATAGAGAAAGAATATATGTACGGATACAATCTCCCAGGGTCCATTTGGTATCTCTTTACAAATCATTGGCTCTTTAGAATTATTATTTTGGTATTGTTTGCACACATCACTGTGTGCTTTTCCGAGGCTACACTGAAAAAAAAAAATTTCTAATATCTGAAACATATTTTCTTGAGACAGGTAAATTTTCTTCAATTGCTTAATTCTCTCAGGCATCTCAACTCACGTGACCCGAGAAAGGCCTCATGCTTTTAAATATTCTTGTACTCAAGGATGATTTTGTCGCAAATGAACTTACTTAAATCGCGTAGAAGAATCGTCAATCTTCTAGTCTTTATTGTTTTCATAATTTTATCATTACGCACTTCCAATATTGTAATATGTAAAATATTCATGACGTAACGCGGAACGATTGTGATGAATGAAAATTTATTCGAGTTCCGTGAAGTGCACACATTCTGAGATTTAAGCCATTGAAAATAATTTACTTCTCTCAAGAAAATATGTTTCAGATATTAGAAATTTTTTTCTCAGTGTACACGCATCACAAAAAAAATCTTTCTTGTCTCTCAAAGTCACTCCGTTCACCATGTTATTCGACACTAACTCGGACAATGCGCGTTTATTCACGTGCTCAAGACGCTCGTGCCATCCCTTCAGACTCGTTGTAGACACATTTGCCTCGTTTGCAATTTGCCGAACTCTTCCTCGAAACAACAATCTGCAAATTCCATTTGACTGCTTGACTCCAGTTGCAAGAATCTCGTTGCCGCGTACTATCAGTGCATCATCCTCTCGAAACACAACTGAATACTCGCGCATTGTGCACATTCCGACAGAAAATAAGTTTTCCTTAAACTCGGAACGTACAGCACATGGTCGATTCGAGTTTCGCTCCACACGCCGGTCTACTAGTCTGTCCATGATAACTGTTCCTTCACCGGCCACGATACATTCCCCATTATCGCCGAGTATTATCATGTCGCCATCCTTCCTCGGATCAAACTCGACGAACCAGTCTCTCCTGAACGGGACGTGTTTCGAACACCCACTGTCGATATACCAGATATTGTCTTGATCGACCGCAAGCACTGAGCGTCGCTGCACATCATCTGGCCTCTTGTACCGACCGTGTTCGATTTGACTTTGTCCATTGGTGTCTGTTGCGCTAGCACATGCTGCTATAAAAGCAACTTGCC